TCATCTCAGAGGCAGCCTGCCTCCTTGTGGCCCTGTTAGTACAGGTTGGGCCTTACTACATTCCAAAGGACAGCAGAAAGAGCGTGTGAAACAAAGACAAACCAGATGGCCATGAAAGGCCGGCCCTAACCCCGAGCCTTCTCTTTCTGCACATGCACACAGAACCATGTAACTAGACACATACCACTGATACCTACAGTCTTTGCTCACTCACTTCTAGACCAAAAGAACAAATGAACTGGTGTTTTGTAAAAAGAATGATTTAATAACTGACAAAATGACCCCATGATGCTGGGGAATCAGTAATGTGAAGGAACATTCACCACAGAACAATCGCTGTGTTTCCAGGGCAGAAGCTAGTGTTTTGGAGCACCGGCATTGCATTTAGCACCCCGCCCCCCCAAGAGGCAATGTATATTCACATGGGAAAAGGAAAACCCTAGAGTAGACCTGCTTTGGGATCTGGCTGGGGGAAAGTTAGGAAAAAACCCGAACACATGAAAGAAAGGAACTCTCCTATTCCATGGGGGTTTGCGCCGGTCATTTGTTTTTACCTTCTCATCCCTTTTGGAGAGAGTTCAGAGAAGCAGTAGGTTTAAGAGAGGAATCCAGTGTACTGGGCTATGGAACTATGACAGCCCCAGGAAGCCAAGTGAGAACCCTCAGCATCCACGACACATAGTGAGTATGGGTGGGTTCAAGGAGACGAGGAGTAGCAGTGATCTGATTTGCATGATGTCAGGTTCCAAAAGAGGAAAGCTGACCATGTGGTGTTCTGCTTGCAGGACTTTGCCTCCACTGGGCTGGCACTTGCTGGAACTCGGGGGAGTGCAATAGCCAGAAACTGGTCAGAGACCCCAAGGGAGAGGGCACTTGTGCTCACCCAAGCTTTGCTGTATGAAGTGCCATGCAGCGTGTGCAGCAATGAGGTGGCAGCATTGAGGTTTATGACATATAGATGCTCTCTGACTTACAATGGTTCCATTTTTTGACTTTATAGTGGTGCTAAAGTGATACACATTCAGTAGAAACCATACTTTGAGTACCCATACAACATTCTGTTTTTCACTTTCAGTAAGGATTCAATAAATTACATGAGATATACAATACTTCATTATAAAATAGGCTTTGTGTTATATGATTTTGCCCACCTGCAGGCTAGTGTAAATGTTCTGAGCATGTTTAAGATAGGCTAGGCTAAGTTATATTGTTCAATAGGTTAGGTGTACTAAATGCATTTTTTTTTCTTTTTTTTTTTTTTTTTTTTTTTTTTTTTCCGTGTCCGGCAACGGATC